ACCGAGATTAACCGCAAAAAAGAGGTTCAAATCCGCTGGAGAGTGTATAAATGTGGGAATACTTTCGCAGCAACTTTAATTCCAATTTTTCCCAAAAGTTAATCAACCACGACCACTCAGTTCGACGAATTAAAAAAATAACTTTTACTCGTTTCTTCTGTGCAAACACTCAAATATTCTGCGATCCCCTACCTTTATTCTCCTTAATTTCTCTTTTCTTGCCATATTTTCTCTTAGTTTTCGAGGAAAAAATGCCGTCATTTACCAAACTGTTACTGTGTATTGCCATAATTTCCAGTGAAGCTGTAAGTTTACATTGCCCTCTTAAGTAAGGAAGACTAAGACAGGCGAAATGTCGCATCAGTTACTGTTGCTATTCAACCAAAGTTAAGCCACTGGAAAGACCAGTGAAGTATGTACAAGCTGAATTCAATAAAATTAAGCTGTTATAAGGCTCGAAAGAAAACGTTTCTTACTGCTCTGCTCAACATTTAAGGAGTGCATTTCAAAAAATCACTGTTTTTGAACATATAATTGCATTTGAAACTGAATACCTTTTGCTTTCGCAAATAAAAACTGAAAAAGTTTCTGGCATACTATGAAATGATATGAAATTTGTCTCAATCAATTAAACCAAATTTGACAAATTGTTAACATCTTTCACTTTTCAGAAACCAATCAAGGAATCAAAAGATGAAATCGAACTCAGCGAACAACTTGACTCACGATATATAGTGCATCAAGGCGGACTGTATCCAAATACACTTTACTCTCAACCAAATAGTATTGTAAACGTCTTTTCCACAGTACTTGACATAAAACCTTCATCTAAAAAAGCATTAACTTCTGTGCTTTTAAAATACTTGAAAGTAACACAAGTATAAAATGACGACTTTAGTTGACCTAATTAATTTGTACTTGCTAGTTAGCTTCAGGTGATGTGATGTTCTGTATTAAAAAACAGATTAATGCCAAATTTCAACTTTTGTAAAGTTCTAATTTTAGTACAATCAATTCCAACCGGCACCTGTCGACTTTTCATCCCAAAAAGGTAAATGTCCTACAATTCAGTTTGAAGTTTTTTAACTTTGTCTGACAATTACCAGTACCAGTTCTTGAAACAAAAAATTTTTTTCTAAGAGACCGGTTAATTAAAGTCAAGTCTATTAAAACAGGAAACAGCTTAAACTTTTCGCTTAATCAAACTTTAATGAAAAACTTTTTCACTAAATCCGCTCTCATCAATGACTATCAAATAAAATTTATAATTAGGTCTAGTCCTTAATTAAGAAACTTTTACATATTTAGTCAATTTTGAATTTCGCTGTCGATGTAACGCAAAAGTGACTCGTGAAACAACTCCAAAACCCGTTACAATTCCACAAGACGCAAACACCCAAGCACAACAACAAATCCAGCAGCTTCAAGTAATTTTTCTTCGTAACAACCCCATAAACCTAAAAGTTTATTACGTAATAACAGCAGAAATGATTTTTAAAATACGAAGTAATTGAATTATTTTGTGCAGATGCAATAAATCTAAAGAATGAAAAAAAAATCTTTGTTTATTTCAAGGAACAGTTGAAAAAGCAATCAGAGCAATTACGACGGCAGCAACAAATTGCTTCGCAAAGCTCTGGAATTGAGCAGTTTGGTAGGTTTCAGTAAATTAACGTAATAATTTGTTTGAAAAGAGATGAACCAATTACTACTAGGTATCGCTTCTGAAAAAAGCATAAAAATTAATTGCAGCTGAAAAAATTGACCAATAAATTTTTTTCGATGATACTAAAAATATCTCTTGAGCAAAACAGAAGATGACAAAAAAAATTTGAGTGCTTTGAAGCCCTCAAGCCTTCCAAAAAGTTTTTTGACATCTGTTAACCTTTTGTTCTGTCAAGGTACGATATGTATCATAAAATACACACAGAAACACAAAAAACCAAAACTTTAATTGCTTTAAAACCAAACATTAATTATTCTACCTTTAGCAAATATTTTATCAATGGCCGATGGTCTTGACTGCTCGTGTTTTGGAGTTGCACCAAATATCAGTGCGAACCAGCAACAGCAAACATTATTACAACCACAAGGATTAGTAGGTAATGTTAAGAACAGATTCGACAGTTTTGTTGTGGCAGCAGTTATAGAAAATTAAAATAAAAAGATAAAGAAAGCTAAAAATGAAACTTTTACACACTTTTTTTCAGAGCAATTTAAAAACAATGTTCAAAAAACAAGATATAAAAAAAAAAAAAAAAAAAA